TACCATTATGTATTAAAGGTTGAATGTATTGTTTAATTCTGTTACCAAAACTGCAATTAATTAAGTGTTGATAAGGTCAATTATAGCTCCTAATAAATACAAGGAAGTGGTGTTAGTGGGGTCTAAGAATTGTTCTTAGCCCCAAAACCAAATGGGGGAGCTGAAGGGTATGCATGGAGAGGCATACTGTGGCTCACCACCCTAGCAACAGCCTGGAGGAGGCCAAGGGGAGGGGGGTGAGCTCGGCATGTGGACTGGAGAGGTGCAGGCATGTGACAAACAAAGCCATATATGGAAAGGTTGAATATGATTGGTTTAGAAGTTTGTGTTATGTAACCTGTAACCATGTGCTATAAAACAGCAAGGGGAGGGGCTCCTTGCTCGAGGGGCTCTGGCTGATTTTAGTACCAGGGGCTCTCCCTTTGTGCACATTGAATAAAGAATTGAATTGAATTGAATCAAATTGAATTGAAGACCCTTGATTCTGCCCAGCACCTGAGTCTCTGGGAACCGCAAAATCCCAACAGTCACTAAGCATGGGTTTATGGAAAATGGATCCTGTCAAACTCATTTGATACTATTTTTTTTAACTAGATTAGCAGTTTAGTGAACATGACGGACAGTGCTGAAGTAGCACACTTAGACTTCTGGAAAGCATTTCAATTGGCGCCACATGGCATTTTAATTTTAAAAACTAGAAAGATGTAAAATTCAAATGCATACAGAGCAGCTATAGCCATGTTGATCCCAGGCTACAAGAAGATGCAGCAGCTCTGTGTTCTAAAGCTTGTCTTTCTTACTGGCAGAACGTGTCCCCATAAAAGATCATTACCTCACCCACACTATCTAATAACCTGGGATCAACACAGCTGTAACAGCTCTGTATATTGCTATTGGATTGCTGTTCAGTGGCCTTGATGAAATGATTTGGTGATGTCTATCTGGCTGACAAGAGTCCACAGCTGGGAGGCATCAGGTGGGTGGCTCGATCCGTGCCAGGTGCAGGGTCTGCTAGCTGGGTGCTTGTACCTGGCACGGGCACCGTAGCCAGCCCGTGCCCCTTTAAGGGATCCGGGGCCGGGAGGAGGGCAGACGAGTTTCCCTGGTGTTGGCCAGAGTGGCCACCAGGGAAACCTGGGGAGGGCTAGCCTCCCACTAGTTCGAATTAAGGGGCTACACACCTCTTAATTCGATCTAACTAATTCGAACTAGGATTAATCCTCGTAAAATGAGGTTTTCCTATGTCAGTCCCCGTAATACATGAGGTTCGAAGGGATGCCGGAAAGGATGAGACCACAACTGGGGGTTTCAAAAAGCACAAACTGATTTTATTTCGATGACGCCAGACAATCATCAGAACAAAAATTAAACAGATTGCCAGACAACACAAAACAATTCCCTGAAGCTTTTCTAAATCACAATAATTCCCAATAACTGCCCAGGGGTTAGGAACAGTTGAATTAACACTGGTATTGTCCATAGGGCTGATTATTTACACAACTTTATACAAGGAAACAGTAAAAAACCTAAACCACAACTATTTATAAACTAACTTAGTAACTTTTTAGCCACTGTCACTTGACAAGCAATAAGGACAACTAAAAAATCAATTAGGATAGGGATGAGGGCGGGGGTGGAGGGGTGGGGGGTGTTATACCAGTTCTGGAGACAGCAGGAACACAAGTACCGGTCACACGCTCATAAACTGTCTCCACTCGGGTCGACCAACTCGGAGTACGCTCAGTAAGACTCAAGAGCGGGGGGTGCAAGGCGTCTGGGTGATCAGGCCAGGCGTTCACTCAATGCGAATCCCCAGTGAGAGAGGGGCTGCCTGCCTGTTTTATTGCCTGTGAACTTATCACCCCATAGGTTGGTTTTTGCTGCAGTGGGTGGAGTAGCAGGCCTGAGCACCAGTCAGCCCACTGGCTGATCTGTTACTGCAATGGGTGGAGCGAGCAGGGGAAGATTATTAATTTACATGCCCTTATATGGAAAACACTCCACCTCACAGACAGAGCCCCCTATACCAGCCTCAGAGGTATTACAGGCTATGGCTCCCTGCGACAGGCAGCCATTTCTGATGTTCTGTCTTGGACATCCTAGTTCGAACTAAGCGCTCCGCTAGTTCGAATTAAATTCGAACTAGCGGAGCGCTAGTGTAGCACCTATTAAAGTTAGTTTGAACTAATGTCCATTAGTTCAAACTAACTTTGTAGTGTAGACATACCCACATTTCCACATTCCTCAGCCACCCACTAGCTGCAAAAGACAAATGTGGCCTTGGATGTGTAATTATATGCACAAACTAATGTTTCAAAATATCCTTTGGCAATGTCTCTCTTCATGCATTGCTAAATACCATAGTCAAGAGGAGAATTATTGGCCGCAACTCAAGCTCATGGTGAAACCCGCCACTAGGCAAGCTGGGTTTTATTATTAATCTAGATGCATTTTTGGCATTTAAAAAGAAAAGTGGAAAAACTGAGATAGTTAAGGTTTTATATTAGCTGTTAATTATGTACAGTATTTAATTTCCCCAACATTTTAAGTGATGTGACCAATTCTTATTGAAATAAATGGGATGGTGGAACCATTCCCTATGGTTCTACTTAATGATATCATGATCTTTCTGATGGATATTTTGACAACAGTACTTCCCATTCAACTCACTCCACCATTTGTGTTAATGGCAGATGTGGTCCTAAGAAACTTTTTATGGAAGAAATCCCTGGAAAAAAGTGTTCAGTATAATAGAAATCATTACAGCTGGAGCTCTGTGTGTACTCAGCAGTTTAAAACATCAGAGCCAAGTTATCTCAAGTTGGATATGGAAAAAGTAAGTCACTCTCAAATTAGTAGTCACAGTCAAACATTTTGGCCATGATATCTAGGCTAAAAGAAGGTACTTTACTGGATTTTGTTCAATTATCTCATTAACACAGAGATCAACTTTATAAAGCTTTTCATGTTTGCTTTAGAGCCGGGGAGGACGGGGAATCTTTTTTATTTTTTAATGTTAATTTTAAAAGTACTATTTTGAAAATATGTTTCTTTGGCTTTAGATTTTTGTTTCCATTTTGAAAGTGCCGGTGAATGAAGGAGGTCATGAACCATACTGCTCTGTGAATTTTGCATTGCTAATATTGCTGAGAATGATGCTATAATAGGATGTGATCTAGCAGCTAGGCATTCTCTTATGTTGTGATAAAAAGGAGTTCTCAGTGGTTACAGGGAATTTCAGGCACTTTATCACTGAATACAGCAACAAGTTATTGCAGAATGCTTTTTGATTGGTTGATAGCTTCCATAGTGTTGCTAAGACCAACAGTACGTATCCTTATAGTGCACACCTAAAATCAATTTTAAGTCTGCACTCTACAATACTAATTGGAATAAAGCGATGAACATGTTTTCCATTTTCAAGATCCCTTTAATGATCAGATCTTTCATCCTTTACCTGGTTCCGTCCCACTGTTCCAGTATCCACAAGAGTAGTTATTGAGAGACCATATAAATATCAGGTTTAAGCACTTACCAACCAGTTTATGGGTGCGTTTAATTTCAGAAAACTTGATGTCTTTTCCATGGTTAGACTTTTTAAATTTTTACTCCTAATTGTTCATCCATATGCTTTCAAAACCCCTAAGGAGGGGTATCACAGACAAGAGAGATGAAAAAGGCCTATTAAGTTACATTATCTAGGTCACCCCCTCAGTGCATGCCATAAAGTGTATTCTCAAGTGCTTTTGCCAGATGTTATATATTGAAAAGAAAAATACTGCACAGGTTGTGAGTTATTGTACATTTTCCCTCACTAAATATTTAATATCTTTGCTTCCGTGCTACTGCAATATAAATAACAATTGTAGTTGCTTTAGATAGTAGTTTTTAACGTTCTCTGAATCAGGGATTGAAAATTTCTCGCATCTGAGGTTTGGGACTTGCTACGTTAAGACTCACAAAGGTATCAATAAAGCACTACTAGACCCAATGACCAATAGCAATTTAAAGGTCTAATATCTTGCAAACTGACCACATTACAAACAAATGTTTGATAGCTTTGGTAGGCTGTGCCAATGATACATAATTGCAAGATTTTGCAATTCTGGAATTTTGTCAGATATCATTATCTTGAAACTATGTCATTCTGATTACCGTAATACTTTCTGTTTTTACTTGAATTCCAATATGATTTCAGCAGCCCCTATCTTGAGAACTGCCAGAATGCTCATACTGCTTTAATACCCTCTAAAGCTTGGCTCTTCACTTTTAAATTGTACAAAGAACTAATAAGTTTAGTGAGGCACAGACTGCTACAAGTATGTCATAACTGAAGTGGAGAAAAGTACCAGATGCTACTTAGAACAATATGACATAAAGATCTGTTATGTCATGATCTGCAAGAGCTATATACCCTTCCATAAACCAGAATAATTTTTATCTGGAGCAATAAGCGACGTCAGTTCTCAACAAGGAATAAGAAAGAATAACTAAGAAATGAATAAAAAGTCCAGTCATACCCTCTTGATCCATGCACAGTGAACAGAGAGCTCCATGAATGGATTTGTCTGTCACCACAGGTCAATCCTGAGGAGAGCAGATGGGAGCTGAAAAGCAGCAAATGTACAGGGTCTCAAATGGAAGTTTCTGCTTCTCCTAGTGTTCTCTTGATGTCTGTGTGCATCTTGAGGGTCCTGTGAGGTTCAGGGACTAGCCTCTCCACTTTTTATGTTGGAAGGAGGAGATGTATCTTTTGCCCATTTAAATATTCTGAGGAAAAACAGCCTTGAAGGGAGCCTCACAGATTTATCCTTCCCCCTTTCTATGTTTGTGGTAGGGGTTTCAGACATGTTGGCTCAATCAGGCTGTCAGATAATTCATCCTGATGAGGACAGACAACAAAAACTCATCTATCACCTTTATTTTTGTTTCACACTTTTGTAGTTCGGTGCCTTCTATAGAACACGGCAGAGAGGAGAATGGGAAGAAAAAAGACAAACTTTTTATCTCATATTTTTATTTGCTGTTGTACTTTAAAAAGAGGACAATCAGTGCTTCGTGAGCTAAAAGAGAACTGGAACAGATGTCTGGTAATAGGAAAAAAACACAGAGGAGGGCAAAATTAAATAAGATCTCTTGCAAGAACAGCTTTACTATCTCTGGAGGTTATAAGAGCAATCATGTTCCTTTGAGCAGCTGATGGAGGACATCATTAAAATGTAGGCACTCCTTTGGAAGCGAACTTTCAGTTTGATTCACTCATTAATAGACACTAATGCTGGATTATGCCTGTGTGAAACAGAAAAGAAGAAAAATCTAGTTCACTGTATCTGACTTTCCTAAACCTTAACTAAAGGAATCCTTTCAAATTGTCTCCAGCTTATTAGAAGCATAACATTCTTATGGGTCAAGTGACTGACAGAGACCTATCAAACTAGTTTAGGCAATTAATGAATCATAGCATGGTATGTTCGGGATATGCTGTGGATAGGTGTCTGCCTCATTTGCAATGTCTGGCCAGGGTTGACTCCAGTCAAAAGATAGTAGAATGCGTAGGCTGCCCTTAGAACTTAGGTGCCATACAATAGGAGCACTGCATCATGTTCTATCTAGTAGGCACACAAGTGATAGCACATTAGAAGGAAGACACAGGCTCAATGAACCATGTAGTTTTAGTTGACAAAGGAGATAATGAACCAAATCCTGTGGTTTGGTTTGAAAGGTTGGAAATGTTTCAGGTTTACTACCCTCTACCTCACCTACCACTGTTGTCTCTTGTAACAAGCCCCAACACCTCACTTTCTTTCCTTAGGAATCTTCAGAGGATGAAAGGACCCTGGGGCTATAGCTACACTGCGCTGAAAAATATGCGGAAAAATGGCTCTTGCGCAAGAGGGGGGTTTTGTGCAAGAAGGAGCCATGTAGACGGCTCCTTTTTGTGCAAAAGCCTCTTGTGCAAAAAGCGGCTGCTTATTAATTATGCAAATGAGTCTCTGCAATATTCCATGCTTAGCCTCATTTGCATATTTCTTGCGCAAAACCAGCGCAGTGTAGACATAGCCTGGGATTTGTTGGAGAGAAAACAAAAAACATTAGTTGGGAAGAATGGAGTTTCACCAGCCTAGCAGCTGTGCTAGCTTTACCCCATGTTCACCGAACATTTGTGGGTTGGCCACAGAACCAAAATTTGAATTCCCGTCTCAATTTGGATCTGTCTAAAGTTAGATGGAGATATTTTGCATCAATCTCTATAATAAGGAGAAGATAAGAGACAGTTCAGCATAGCCTGGTTCCAGGAGAGCCATTTCAGATTTTGGTTGTGGGGGACAACTTTAACCATGATTCCAGGGGTTGTTTAGGCACTTGAAAACTCTGGTTTTCTGGCAAATAATGTAGCAGTTAGCTGTAAGGAGCCCAGTATCTAATTCCTATAAAAAGACAAGTATTAGACTCACTTTAATAACATGTTCTGACATCTTGTGGCAAATCACTTAATACACACTGTTTACTTTAAAATGTTAATATATATTCTTGCTTTGTTACTAGCTCTGATGAACTCCTGGGTTCTAGCTCAGCTCTGGGAGGGAAGTAGGGTATATTAGGGGCAACTTCACCTGGGTTCTATGCAAGATCATAAGAACAGCCATACTGGGCCACAGCAAAGATCCATCTAACCCAGTATCCTGTTTTCTGACAGTAGCTAATGCCAGGTGCTTCAAAGGGAATGCATATACAGCCGGTCCCCAAGTTGCGAACGGTTGACTTATGACCGTTCGCATTTACGACCGAAGTTGTCGTAAATGGCGTACCCGAGTTACTAACGTGATCCACACTTATGAATAGCGCGGTAATGTGTAACTCTATAGGGTCCGACTTACGAACAAACCGAGTTATGGACGAATTGCTTGGTCTGTAACCGGCTCGTAAGTCGGGGAGAGGCTGTAATAGGCAATCGTTGAGTGATTCGTCCTATCACCCATTCCCAGTTTTGGTCAAACAGAGCTGAGGGACATACGGAAAATGATGTTGGATATCTGCCCACACTGGCTAATAGCCAGTAAGGGACCTATTCTCCATGAACATATCTAGTTCTTTTTTGAACCCTGCTATAGTCTTGGCCTTCACAATATCTTCTGGTAAAGAGTTCCACAGCTCCATTGAAGGAATAATTTCTTTCATTTATTTTAATTCTGCTGCCTATTAATTTCATCAAGTGATTCCTTGTTCTTGTGTTATTTGAAGGAGTAAATAATACTTCCTTATTCAATTTTTCCACATCATTCAGGATTTTATAGACCACTATTATATCTCCACTTAATCATCTCTTTTCCAAACTGAAGTCCCAGTATTTTTAATCTCTCTTCATATGGAATGTGTTCAGTAGTCCTAATAATTTTCATTTCCCTTTTCTGTATCTTTCGGCTATGTCTACACTGCCCTCTCTTGCGCAAAAAAATATGCAAATGAGGTGAAGCATGGACTATCACCGTGGCTCATTTGCGTAATTAACTAGGCTCTGGTTTTTGCATAAAACCTCCCTCTTGCACAAGAGCTGCTGTTCTGCTTTTTTTTCAAGAAGAACGGCTCTTGCTCAAGAGGGGGTTTTTGTACAAAAAGGAGCCATGTAGACAGCTCCTTTTTGCGCAAAAGCCACTTGTGCAAAAACGGAGCCTCACTAATTATGCAAATCAGGTGCAGCGATATTCCATGCTTTGCCTCATTTGCATATTTTTTTGCACAAGAGAGAGCTGTGTAGACGTAGCCTTACAGAGTTGATCACCCACTTTATATTATGTGATCAAATCTGTACACAGTATTCGATATGTGGGCATACCATGGATTATATAGAGGCAATTTTCTGTCTTATTATCTATCCCTTTCTTAATGAGTGCCAATATTCTGTTAGGGTTTTGGGTGGGCTGGGGTTTTTTTTGGATTGTTGCTAGACATGGAGCAGATATTTTCAGACAACTATCCACAATGACTCCAAGATCTCTTTATTGATGGGCTCAGATAATTTAAAGCCCCATCATTTTGTATGTATATTTGGGGATATACTGTGCTATATGCATTGCTCTGTATTTATCAATATTAAATTTAATTTGCCCTTGTGTTCCCAAGTCATCCAGTTTTGTAAAATCCTTTTGTAACTTCTTTTCAGCTTTGACCCTAACCATCCTGTATCATCTGTACATTTTGCCAGCTCTCTGTTTGTCCTTTATTCTAGATCATTTTTGAACGTGTTGAACAGTTCTGGTTGCAGATCCCTTGGGACACCTCTGTTTACTTCTCTCCATTCTGATAATTATTCCCATTCTTTGTTTCCTATCTTTTGACTGGAGTAACTGACAATGCTTTTAGGATCATCTAATAACTCTTAGTTTACTTATATGACAAGCCTTTTGTTGTCTAAACACCCTGTCTCTTTTTATAAACAAACTCCCTGCTGCAAAGGATGGAGGCAGAGGGGGTCCAGCTCTCAGTGCTGCCTGGAGCAGGATGCACTGGCCCCCAGCCCTTAGAACTGCCCAGAGCATGCCACACAGTGCTTGAGCCTGAGCCCTTTAGAATTGCTAGGCCCCCATTGCCCACCTCCCCCCCCTCACTCCCCTAAATGAACC